TTTGATATTACAACAGATATTGGTTGGGTTGACTATCTATTTCAACAAATAAAGATTGGTCTGGTTGTTTTTTTTACTTGGCTCATATATATATATATAGGCAGTGGCTTTGGTCCAGTCCAAGATCGGACTGGACCGTGCTGTTGGGCCCGTAGGCCCACCACGGGTCCCGTTTTGATAATCCGAACTGTCAATGTGTAGAACTAGTCGAGTACTATATGCTTGTAAAAAATTACATTGATCGGATATCGATAACGATGTGAACAAAACAGTTTTTTATCAACCGTTAATTGTTTCACCGTAAGCTCGGCTCGTTTATCTTTATTTAAATTATATATTAAATATATTATTTAATATAATAATATAAATATATTTTTATATATTAAATAATATAAATAATATTAAAAAAAATTATCAAGTCGAGCTCGAGCCCAGTTCCTTATCGAGCTGAACTCAAGCTCAATAAACGACCTCGATAAGTAAACGAGCTGAGCTCGAGCTCAGTTACGGTAATTTAGGTCCTATTTAAGATTTTTTGAACTAATAAGTCTTATTTAGTAAAACTGATAATATTTTCAGTTTTTTTCAATTTTAAAAATTAAAAACATTATCAATTTTATATAGTAATGTTTTAGATAATTATTTCACTAACTAATTAAAAAAAAACAGAGTATGAAATTCTACTTATTGGGTTGATTTAACTATTTAATAAACCTGAAAACATAAACATTTTTTTTTTCAATTTTAAAAACTGAGAACATTATCAATTTTTTTATTTTTAAAGTTTTTTTTTATATATATAATTTTGCACATCAATGTTCCATCATCATACTCCTTTATAGATACAAAATTTTCAGTTTTACACAAAAAAATAATTCATTTTTTTAAAAAAAAAATAGACATTTAGTTCTTTTCTTTTTTTTTTGCACATAATTTTTTTTTTTTTTTTTAAATTTGAAAGTTGATGTTTTAAAGTTTTGAAAATCAAAACAAATGTCAAATAATCATGTTCCTTTATAGATGATCATAAATGATGGACAATTATTGTTTGAAAGGTAATTCCAACTATTAAAAATTTAATGGGACTTGAAGGTCCAAAAAATTTTAGTTAGGACTTAATGAAGTATAAGTTCATAAATTAGGACTGGTGTGTTCATGCCTCTAAAACTTTTAAATAGATAAAAGAAATTTGAACAGATCAAAAATTTCAACAAATAGTTAATGAAAAGTCAAACAAATAAAAAAAAGTCAAGAAGTGAAATTGAAAACAAAATGTTTTCTAGAACTTCTCACCAAACTTGTGATACCCCTGTTATGTATTATGCTAAATTGGTCCTTAATTTGTTTATGGTTATGTGTTTAGCATGATTTTGTGTGCCATTATGTGATAATATGTGATTTTGAATTCGTATCTGTTCACCGTAGGAACATCTGTTTGAATAATCAGCTTTGGAAATTAAATTGAGGGCCTTATCGGCCACAGAACCCGAAATTGATTACGCCACTGTGATTGGCATAATTTTTAGAGCCTACGGTGAAATTTAATTGAAAATTTATCCTGGTCAATTTAGACTGATTAAATTGATAAATTAAGTGCCCAATTGTTTTATAATAAAATAATGTTGAGTGGATGCTTATTAAGGGTTAACTACACCCTCATTTCTCTCATTTAAGCTTCATTTGGCTGATGAAAAACTCTTAGACTTGAGAGAGGATCGGCTATGAGAGAGAGGGTGAAGGGAATTGAGATTTTGGTCCTAAAGCTTGGTGATCTTGGAGGCTAGCTCGAGAATTTACCTTAAATTGTGAGAATTAAGCTTCTAGGTAAGCCATTGACTCTTGAATTCATGAATTGAACGTGAAATCTTGTGAGTTCAAGTATTTTTTTTTGTGATTAAGAGTATGATTTAAATTAGTCTTGATGAGATATGACCATGCATGCATAAAAATTCTGTTGAATTGCCATAAGTTGCATAATCTGGCATGTACCATGTCAATTAAGCAAAAATTGAAGTTGATCATGCATGCAAGCTTGGTTTTGTTGAGTTTTGGCACCATTTGCATCTTTGAAATGGAAACGAAGTCAAGATGGCCTTGCATGTTCGAATAATTAAAGATATGAGCTTGAATGCAAGAATTTGTTATATGGGTGATGAGTTTGTCATGTTTTGGGACATGCATGTAGGTAAATCAAGAAATTGAATTTCATAATGCTATAATCTTGCAAAGGAACCATGTTAGTATGATTATATTTGAGATTTGAGCCTTTACATGCAAGAATGGTAGCTGGGAAATTGAATTGGAGCTCAAGAACTTAATCTGGAAAACCCAGATTTTTGATGTCCGCTCGAGCGGGAGAAGGGCCGCTCGAGCGGGAAAATCGTGCTCCCAGCACTTTTTTGCAGAGTTGGATGTCCGCTCGAGCGGGACATCTCACGCTCGAGCGGGAAGCTTTTATAGACAGGCCTTCCGCTCGAGCTCTCTATCCCACGCTCGAGCGTATTTTTCATGCAACCAATACTTTTGCAAGCCTTAAGGGTCCGCTCGAACGGATAAGTTGACGCTCGAGCGGGGACCCTATTCTCTGAAATTTTGTATGCTCGCTCTGTGTTTTGTTTTTCGTTCTCTTTCACTTGTAAACACTCTTAGGCATATGGTAAGCATTGTAAATGAGCTAATGAAATGTGAATTAAGCCTAAAGAGAGATATGTGAATTAAAGAACGAATTGAACTGTTAGTGACCCTTTTGTGCTCATGAAATGTGTAGGGTCAAGTTCCAGGGCAAATCCACAAGCCGATCACTGTGAGTAATATCAATATTTAAAAGCTTGTGAATGTCTACTTGTTATTCCCTTATAAGCCTTATGAATTTGCTAATTGGGATTGTGGACAAAAGCCTGATACGAATGAATGATTAGACCAGAGGTCGTTTTGACAAGAATAAATGGGCCGAAGGCCGTTTTGACCAGAATAAATGGGCCAAAGGCCGTTTTGACATAAATAAATGGGCCGAAGGCCGTTTTGACGTAGATGGAAATCAGAATGGGCCAAAGGCCAATATGTTTAGAACTACAGTCACTTGATCTGACCTTTGTATAAATGTACATATGTTAAGTAGGAATATGAATTGGGCCCAAGGCCGTTTGGAGTATATTGTTCTGCATATTGTTTATATGACTTCTGTGTTTGATATTATTCACTGGGCTATCGTTCACGCTCATTCATGTGTTTGTAGGTGAGCCAAGAGAAGTCCAAACCCAGCCCCAGTGAAGTCTGCTAGGGAAAAATACAAGTTTTGAGGAAGTTAGCCTTGCGTCTCACTCTTGAGACCTATCTTTGCCTTTTTGCTATGTAATTATATTTTGTCTTACCGGCAAGGACTTTATGTATATCTATAAATAGTCTGTCATGGGTTGACTTAATTAGATGATCCTGTTTGTAAGGAATTTTATGGTACTGTACTTTTGACATGGGTTATTAACGTATATGAGTTTGGTTTGTTTTGAAGTGCATATAAGCACGGCTCTATAGACAAAGTTATTGATTATTGCTTCCGTTTGGCCCCTCTACTCTGTTGACTTATGTCTATTCTGGTTTGAGGCCGTAGGTAATCTCAGGATTACTGGCCGGTTACGTCCTTAACCCATGGGGGCGGGTTCGGGTCGTGACAAAACTATTTTATAAATCTTTCATCAACTAAAAAAATCTGTTGTTCCTAATACCTTATACCCTTCTGTACGGGGAGCAAATATTCCGGCAAGCCCGTACTCCTTTCTTCCGAGCTCCGTCTCTGTCCAATTACCTGCGTACACAACGACGTTGAGCTACCTGGCAGTGTGTGGCCGGAAAACCCCTTAGACGATCAAGTTAGAACACACACACAGGGGATAGATAGAGAGAAGGGAGAGTGTTGAGTGTTTAGTGTATGTCTCACCAAATGTTCATCTGCCCACGTATGGAGAGCGCAGACGTGCTTATATACCTTCTGCGCCCCAAATCTACTCCCAGTGACCTCTCAACACGTGGCACTGCTATTCCATCTGTCAGCATAAACCTTGCTGAGCACCACTTAACCCAACTGCCTGCCCATTCTACTGGGAGCTCAGCAGCCGGGCAGTACCATCTCGGGCATCGTCTGCCATGCTGCGCTTCATGCCCAAGTACTCCAACAGCGAAGCTCAGATGAGGACCGGACTCGGCGGCATCTCGGCAAAGCCGAGCTCGGGACAACTCACGCTTGTCTGCGGTAGACCTACCTGTCGAGAAAACAGGTACCTCGGTCCAACCTTGCCTTTCCTGGCGCTGGACTTTTCACCTGACTGGCTTCGTAACCACGGATCCTTGCAGCTCGGTCAATCCACGCGCTGCCTTAACCGAGCAGCTTCCTTCAAGGCCGGGCCACACAACTTGGCCCAACACCTGTTCGGCCCAAATCTGTCTGGCACAACTCTGTCCGGCCCAATTCCATATCATTAATCTCCCTCTCACCTTCTTATATTGGATTTATCACCAATTAATCCTAATTTTTTAATAAAAATTAATTCTAAAATTTAAGCTAAATTCAAATCCAATCACATAACATGATTCAAAAATTAAAGACAATCTTCTCATATAAGGTCAAATGCCAAGTTCAAGTATAAAATTAGATATAATTAATCAAAATACAGTTAAAATGGTCTAAACACTAATTTATCTATAAATAAAAAAAGAAGAGACAATTGTCATACATAATTCAATTACAAAATGGCATAAATTTTTAGAATAAAAATTAAGAGCTCTACAGAGAGAATTCTACAGAAACTTTAAATAGGTAAAGTTCACTTATGCTGTGATACGTGTACTTGTGTGTGTTTTTTTTTCTCCCTCACCGCATGTGTAGAGTTAGTTCAAATATTAGAATTGCCTATCATTGTTGAAATTTTTATGCAGTGGGTCATATCAGATAAAATGATTGTATTTGATTTTATAAATTTTTTCTTAAATTCAAAAAAATAAATAAATAAATAAAAATTGCCCGATGGCAATCGTAAGCATACTCGTCAGCAGAACCAAATCCCTCCTCTTCTCCCACCGCTTGAGATGAAACCATCAAAATTAAAGCTGATTCCGAGCGGTTCGACTTCTCTTCTTCATCTACTTTCATCCATTTACTACAACACTGACTGGTGTTGTATATGTTGGGTTCCTCTGCGTTTATCAGAAGACAACACTTCTTCATACGATCTCTGGGTTGTTACACCAACACTCAAACCCATCACCATAACGGAATGAGCTCTGTCATGAGTGGGTCAGGTTTGGAGTCTGATGCTTTGGGCATTCTCAGATCAATCACTCCATCACTCGACCCAACTAAGCATAAAGGCCAAGCTGGTATACACTTGTCTCAATCAATGTTCAATTATTTGTCATTTCAAGCCAATTTCTTCTGATTCTGTATCTAGATTATCATTCTTGTGATGACCCAAGTTCCCAATTTTAGTCAAACTCAGCTCGAAGATTATTGGGATTGTGTTTGTGTCTGTTCTTGTTTGCTTGTCAATGTAATCTAATGGAATCTTAACTATTTGTTTGTTTTGCCTCAATGGACATTTTGTTGTTTTTTTCAAAAAAATTAACTATTTTTTTGGTTCATTTCATTAATGCGTTGATTTTGCATTATTTATCAATCAGGGAAAATAGCTGTTATAGGTGGATGCCGTGAATATACAGGTGCTCCATACTTTTCTGCTATTTCAGCTTTAAAAATGGTTAGTTCTCTCAGCTTCATCTTCACCTCTTTTTTTATTATTTATTTATTTTTTATATATATTTTTTAAATTTATATATTTTTCTTGTTTTCTTGTTATTCACTTATTAGATTTTCTTATTCTGAAGAAAACTATAAAATAAAAAAATACAAAATAAATCTTGATCACAGGGTGCAGATTTGTCTCATGTTTTCTGCACTAAAGATGCGGCTCCGGTAATAAAAGGCTACAGTCCTGAGTTAATTGTGCACCCTATTTTGGAAGAATCTTACAGTGTTAGGTGAATTTCTCAAACCAATGCATTTACTTTTAATTGTTGCATAGGGAGCTGATTTGTTTTTTGAAAGATACTTTCAGGGATGAGGACAAAAGATCAATCCTGGATAAGGTCCTTGCCGAGGTTGAGAAGTGGATGGAAAGGTTTGATTGTCTTGTAGTTGGTCCAGGACTTGGAAGAGACCCATTTCTTCTGGTGTGCTTTTGTTTCCCTAGTTGTTTTACTTTAAATACTAGTGTAGACATTGGCTAGACCTTTAATTTAAAGGTCATGGCTTAACTTCTTAAATAATGTAGTTATTCGCTCGAATTAAACTTGATCTTCGTGTGCTTGGTTTTGCTTGATGCATATTGAAATATTTAGCTGTGATAAGGAAGTGACAAACCAATTAGTGTTTTCAAATGTCATGGAGGGTGGCGAGATGAACTTTGAGACAGGTAAGGCATAGGTGTTAAGAATGTTATTCGGGTTCATAATCTATGTTCTGAAGTGTGTGAATATATGCAACTGTGGAAACAAATTAAGAGGTGATAGATTCTATTATTTTTCTACACTCAGTATGTTTGATTTCAATTTTAAGTGATCTGCAATACTTCCAATGAGAAAATCCTTGATATAGATTTGTGAGTGAACCCCAAACCTACAATTAGGAATCCTTAATAGAGCCTTCAAGTCTGTGTGAAAACTCTAATATTCTTGATCATAATTATTTGTTTTATTGAATATAGAACTACTGTGAAAGAAAGTAAATTGTATTTTATGATTCTAAGCTGCACTTTTTTCACCACTAAAAATATATAGTTTGGTTAACATATGAGAAGCATGTATTGTTCTTTGATAGAACTAGCTCGGCCATTTTTATTTGTTTAGGTATTCTCTAACGTCTTTTTTTTGCCAGTCCTAGCCATTTTCTCTTCAGCATCTTTTTTGTTGTTATGTGCCTGTGTATCTTGTTAAATGAATCCTTGCTAAAGCATGTGTATGATTTCCAGGACTGTGTTAGTAACATCATGAAGCATGCGAGGCAGTCAAATGTCCCAATTGTCATAGATGGGGTATGTGATGACAAATACATATTCTCTCTCTCTCTCTCTCTCATACACACACACACACACACACAAACACACACACAATCATTTTGGAAGGTGTACTTGATTATCCAGTTTATCCATATGGTATGCATTTATTTGACCATATATGTCTTTGGTTGGTGATATGGGTCTCTACCAGGACGGGCTCTTTCTTGTCACAAACTGTCTTGATCTGGTTAGTGGTTACCCATTGGCTATCCTAACCCCAAATGTGAATGAATACAAGCGCCTTGTTCAGAAAGTACTAGAATGTGAAGTAAATGATCAAGCTGCTTCTGAGCAATTGCTATCTCTTGCTAAATGGTAAATTTTCGTTTAAAAATTTTCAAATCTTACTCAAATCACTTGTTAAGCATCCTTTAGTAAGTTTTATCATTGATGACATCCATTTGTTTTATAAATATACAATTGGAACATTTTTTTTCCCTCAACATATGAGAATATTTACCGTTCTAGTGAGATTATCACATGATACACATACACATTCATAAAAGTAGGTTTTAGTGCATTCAGTGCGGTTAGTTTGTTATGAATGTACATCAATGTTGCATTTGCCATTATTATATGTCATAAACGCAGACAGACAAACTTGTTGTGAGCACACACATTAGAGAGAGAGTTGTGCATTGCTGTGGTACAATAAAACCGATGGATATAATTTTTCCTTGATCAGGATTGGTGGTGTAACTATTTTACGCAAAGGAAAATCTGATCTTATCAGTGATGGTGAAGCAGGTACCTAATTAGTTTTGATTACTTGGTTATTTATCTTGTCTGTGAAAGAACTGTCTTCTTTTTATGGCATTGATATATATGTTTGACTGGGTGTTTGAACAAATTAAATAGGCTTTAGCTCATTTGTGGGAATTGCGACTTTCTTTTTATGTCACGGGGACAATGAACGTCATTCTTGCTAATTCTCCGTCCTTCATGCAGTTAGGTCAGTGAGCATCTATGGTTCTCCTCGCCGCTGTGGTGGCCAGGGTGACATACTTTCTGGAAGGCAAGTGACTTTTTTAAATTATTGGATACAAACTATACATCAGGAATTCTTTTAGGTTTAAAATCTTAAATGGCCTTGCTCCCCTGCAGTTAGAAGTTTTTTCTTTTCTCTATATTTCATCTATCTCCTTCCATGATACAGTCCCTAGTCTTCCATCGGTTCCTCTCCTCACTTCTCTCTCTCTTCCATGCAGATATCTAGTCATTTACTTCTTTTTCTTTACTTCTAATAATAGCGAGTCTTTTAAGGGTAGTCTTTTTCTTTATTACATATAAAAACTATCATGCTTAGGGGTAGCTCGGATGTTCAGTCATCCAGATTCCTATCCAGGAGGTCTAAGGTTCAACTTCCCTCCTGTTTGCCCAGTTCATATGCTTAAGAATTTGAAACCCAAGTTTACACGCTTGGAGTGGGTCCAAAAGACCCTGACTGGTTAGAGCTCTCTGTTGATGTGAAAAGTTTTATTTTCTTTGGACTTTGGAGTTGGCATTGATGTAGTTTTGGTACTCATGTACACTATACAACTAGAGAAGACAACTGAACTTTTGGTTCACACTGTTCTATCAGCTTTGCTAGATGTTGGGTGTTCAAATAAGAAGAAAATCACAGATTGCTACCGGCCAATTTAGATCAGAGTTTGAAAGTTCAAAAAAAAAAAAAAAACACACCAATTTTATTGTTTGATGTCATTTTGCGATGACCTAATACATTACCCTTCGGTTGATGCCAGTGTTGCGGTCTTTGTATCTTGGGCCCGGCAATATATCTCTACTGCGCCTAAAGGAGAATTGATCACGAACCCGACAATGTTGGGGTGCATTGCGGGGTCTGCTTTAATGAGGAAGGCAGCATCGCTTGCATTTGACAATAAGAGAAGGTCGACCCTCACCAGTGATATCATCGAGTGCTTGGGGAGAAGGTATTGGTGTTTGATTACTTAGAAACAAACAATACTCTAGTGGAATTACTCAAAAATTACTTTGTTTTTGTTTTTGTTTTTGGTTTTTCAGTCTGGAGGACATTTGCCCAGTCAATTGATTATCGGAGTATTGAATCAATGATGCCTCGCCTCCTTTCAGAAACTACTTTTGTCGTAAGTGGCTATGACAGATTGTAAACTTGGAAAATTGCAGCTTCCTTTGGTTCATTCTTCTTCCTTCTTTGTTTTTTTTTACTCATTTGGAAAGGACTAAATGATGTGTGATATGCAGGCTAATACCATGTAAAGGAGTGGATTATGAATAAGAAGAGTAGATTAATATAGGAACAAACATGGATTAACTTTTGCATTCTCTCTGTTCAATCTGACTGCTATCAAAACCATCCAATGATAGTTGGATGGTTGAAAGAGGATTCAAATTCCAGTAACAGATTTTATTTATTTATTTTTATTTTAAATAAGAGTATTTGGAAGGATGGAAATGCCAAAGAATGTGAAGAAAAATATTTTTTGTTTCTTGGAAACTATTTTTAAAATTTAAGAATTAAGAAAAAAAAAGTGTTTTTATTTATTATGAAAACAAATTTTCGTTGGCCACTGGTTACCTCCCACTCTTTTAACAACTCACTAAAGAATTTTCTTAAATGTTTTGAAAATGTTTACTACATATTTTTTAGGCAAAAATTATAATTTTTTTTTTTTTATATTTATCTTTTTGTAAAATTTTATAAATCTCAGTTTATCTGCATGAAAAATGCTAAAAGATCGGATTTTACATAGCAATAGGATCCCCGACTTTTTTCTCCTACTTTTGTTAATTTTTTTAATATTATTTATCAATCAAACTCTACAGACTTGTTAACATGCATAACTCGTTCTTGTAGAGAGAGAGAGAGAGCTAAGCATAACATTGAAAGCTCAACAGTTGGAATCCCGACAGCTACAACACCTCCTGGTCAGCAGCAGGCTCCCAATGCAAGGGAAGATTAGTCAAGGTGTGCGTTAAGCTGACCCGGACATCCTGTGAGAAACCAAAAAAATAGAAAACAGAAAGCTCATGACTTCAGTATGAAGCAGTAATCATTATAAATCAACGAGCAAAATTTCAACACATTTTTAAACTGACGTCAAATTTGAACAATTTATACTCATTCAACATAATCATATGCATTATATTTAAAATAATAATAAAAAAAAAAAAGCCAAAAGGTAAATAAGCTAAACTTGATCAACTCAATTAAAATTCATTTAAGATCAGCTCAAAAGGTAAATAAGCTAAACTTGAACACATTTTAAAACTTTCAAGCAATATTTTAAAAGAGATTAAGCAAAAAACATTGCCATTGCACTTTTGTAACTTACAAGAAGTCAGAATATTATAACATCCTTTTGGCATAAAGTAAAACACGGAATTAAAATTCATGAAAGACTCATTTTATGGAGAACAAGGTATGCTACACCATCTTAACGTAATAATAGTTTCTCAGACATGTATGTATTGTTTTTCTGCCTTCTTCACTATCAGTTTGGTATCTTCTCTTGTTCTTTGATACTTGAGTCAACTTCCCAGTTCCCCCCAACTAAAACATCTGCAGGGGCAATACCATCAATGAATCAGCAAGTGTAAGCAATTAGGCTCAGCTAGAACCCTTAGGCATTAAATATTTCAAATAATTACTTCTAAATTGTTATTTGAAATTCATATCATGTCAAAGCTCTCAAAATCAGTATTGAAATCCATATTCAAAACCATTGAATCAAAATTTGATCAATTCTCCTTGAATGAGTAGTGTCAAATTCCTGCATTTTTAAATCTATAAATCCAAACACAACAAAAGGATGAAACGAAAATCAACATATGAAAAATTGGCACAAATTTTTATCACTGAAGAAAGGATGAAACAAAAATATTTTCCTGCTTCGCAGAGTTAAAACATGAAAAATAAACACAATTACTCAAAAATTTACATAGTGTAGGAGAACCATGAAGTTCAACTGTACACCGTGCCAGAGCCCACATCTTTGACACGATTAGAAGGATATAATGAGAAGAAAATAAATTTTGAGGATCCAAAAACATGTACATGGTAGTTGTAAAACCCAGAAACAACCAGAGCAGTTCACATATGTACCATTAAAAATTAAACTTTTTAAGAAGCACGCAATAAAACACTTACATTGTCATCCACATTTCCTGGTGAAAACACTCCCTCCCCGCTTAAGAATCTGCAGGTGGTTGCTGCTGATGTGGCCACATCTGCTGAGCTGTGGTGTAAGGATGAGGAGGCTGCTGTGGCCACATCTGCTGAGCCTGTGAAGCATGCTGTGGTGGCATATAATAGTACGGTAGACCTTCATTTGGGCCTCCGACAGGAACGGTTCCTCGTGGCATTGATGCAAGTACCTCATCTTTCAAATCTTCCCTTGGCACGATATCAACCAAGAAGTCAAATATATCGGTCCTTGTGATTGCCGCTGCAATATCATTCTTCTGAAGTGTCCTCCTTTTGTTCTCCTCTGTGTGATTCCAAGACCGCAGTGTCAACTCTAGAATGAACATCTCACAGGCCCGTGCAAAGACGACTGGGGCTTCGGCTGATATCATTCTTACATCCTCGTCTGCTTTCATAATCTTCTTAATCCTAGCCAATGGGAGGCTATGGTTTTTAAACTCGGTCGTCTGCTCGATTTCTTGGCACTGGTTTGCCCAAAAACTCTGGAGTTGTTGCTGCAATAGCTGTTGCTGCTGCTGGTGGATGTGCTGATAAGCAAGTTGTTGTTGTGCAAGCTGAGCAGGAGAATGAATAGATCCAACTGACACAGGGGCAGCGGGACCTGTCATTTGGTTTGCTTGGTATGGGGCCACACCATATGGCATTTGACTCGAGCTACCCATCACCCCCGTAACTGGGGGCTGCCCCTGCCCATGCCCTTGCTGATCCATTTTTTGACTGCTTAGGTTCGCTAGAAAGTGACTTTTCAAATACAGAGTTCAAACAAGATCGTAAGAATATTAGAAAAAATGAAACAGCATTAGCACTTTGTCATAAGAAATTTTTGAGCCTCAAAAGTCTGTCTTACTGGAAAAATATGTAGGCGTATTTTCAAACACAATTCTCAGAGTTGATCACCAAAAATAATTTTTTTTTTTTAATTTTAAAAATAGGTAAAAACTCAGAGTTCGATCCTAGCTCAGGATGAACACTGGCTGCATGCTTAACACGTGCAAGTCACAAGGGAAGTTGTTTTTTAGTGCACACGGAGTGAAACTGCCAACTGACTTGCTTGAGCAAAGACAAAGTTGCTTGAGTGACTTTCCCTGTTTTCAGAGTTCCAATTAAACCTATTTGAACTTCAAAGCTAAATACAACTATTTTAAACACAATTCTCACTGTTCAAACACATTACAATCCAATACACACCTTTAAATCATATTACAAATCCTTGCTTCATCGTCATTACACCATGCACCCCTTAACAATACACACGTGTGTGCATTCAAATTAAAACTCAATTGAGTTTTGTGTACGGAACATGCCAACCAAATGCACTAACAACAGGGATTGAGTGATGAACGAAAGTTGGGAAAGAATGAACCCACAAATGGTGGACACTAAAGATTTTATTTTTATGACTAAGAGAAACCGAGAAGAAATATACTAGAAGAATCAAAGGGCAGAATGAATGAGCTGTCAATTCTGTATAGATAATTAACATATGATTACTATTTCACTACTACTAACAAGAAGCATCCTTACTAGCACCACACAATATATCATACAAAAAGATCTTCTCTGGAAAACGAAAAGAATTAGAAGCCACAAGTATTGTGATACCTTGCTTTTAATCAAGTAACTGTTTGCTAGCATATTTGATGAGAGAGCTAGCCTCCCCAAAGAAATCATAAATATTGGGCACTTCCTAATTGTGTGCAATGTCAGACATAAATATTTGCCCCAATTTTGAAGCCACATTCAGCTTTCACCTTTCATGTCAAAAAGGGCAGAGAGAGAGAGAATTGACAACGCTATCCCACTGCTTTCAAACAATCTCAAGATATCATCCATACTGAGACATTTCTGAAAGCTTATTTTCCTATATTAAATTATACAATACGTTATTGTTCAACAACTTTGTTTGAAGTTTTTGAAGTAATGCTCCCATTATGAAATACCTCAGAAAATATCATTTTCCTAAAGATTTTCCCTTCAACTGAACTTTTAAACAAAGGAAAAATGCATTTGTAGAACAAATAATATGGTAACTGAAGTCTCTTTAAATGGAACAATAATAAATAACATGACATTAAAAGTGTTTCAGAGCATAGAAATTCAAGAATTCATTTCCAACCATCTATCTTTATTCTTGGAGAATATAAAATTAGAAATAAGCCACACCGCGGATTAATGAACATAAATAAGTACCCAAAACAACAAAGGATGAATAAATACTTGAAACAAGCACTTCAATTCACGCACACAAATTACACAAGTTCAATTTCATATTTGGTAAATTTAACACACCTACAACCTAACTTACCGATACACCAGGGACAAAACATTTTTCTAAATCTATTCAAGTCCATCACCCCCAACCTCGATACACCGAACAACCAAAGGATAATTCTGTTAAATTACTCCCCCTCTCGTTTTCTTCTAAACCTAACCCTAATTCCTCAAATTTTTTACACCTCAACTATTCAAATACAAAATTGATTCTCATATAATATCTAGAGGTTACACTTGTGCTTTTTTCTCAATCAATCTATATAAATACACACACACACACACACATATATGACTCAGTGTTTGTGAAACCAGGGATCAAGAATCACACATATATATCAAAATTACAAAATTGCTCTGTATATACATGTAAGTATGCATGCATACAAGGAAATCAAGTACCTTTATATCTCTGTTTACTTCGGATTCTCGATTTTGCTTAAAGATCAAAATACCTAAAACCAAAAACAAAGTACTTGAATGAATTATATCAAATTGTTATGCAAATTAAATAAAAATTAACACATAAATTCACCAAAAAAAAAGGCACGCAGACATAAAACTATGCATATAGAAATCGAACCTGTGGTCTGTAGCTGTAGCTACAAAAGTTGAGAGTTGAAAGAGAGAGAGAGAGAATAAAGTGGAAATTGGTAGTTTGGTTCGCGGAAGTGTCTGCAGCTTTGCACTCTCTTTCTCTCTCACTAGTCACCACCAAAGAGAGAGTAAAAAATGAAAGACAAAATAAATTTGCATTTGACTTTTTTTCAGTGAACTTTGTGACTTTCCCATCCATCCAAACACTAGATGTTAATTAATTAAAAAAAAAAGATAGTTTTTTTTTTTAGCAGAAAAAAAAAAAAGAAAAAGATAGTTGATCCACAAAACCTAGGCTTTAACCAGATTTTTTTTTTTAATAATAACAATAATATCTACTAGTGGGTTGACCTAATAAGAGCAGATTAAATTAATCAAAAAAAAAAATGTGATAGGTGATCTACAAAACCTAAGTTAATACCTAGATTTTTCTTAAAATTTAATAATATTTACTAATAAATTAGCATAATAGCAACTCTTTGTTGCAGTTTAGATTAGAATCAAGAGTTGCCGTTTTAGAATTTACTCATTTATTTTAAAGCACTACCAATTGTACTAGATGAAATTCAAATTCTAAAATTAGATGGTTGTGTCTTTTTGAAGAAATTTTTTGAAGTGCTTTTTTTATCAAATTGAATGTTGCTTTAACTTTGATTTGTAAGATAATGAAAATCATGTTATGATCACTTTGTAGCTTCTTCCAATAGATCATAATGTTAATGAAGTAACATTTATAGTCATATGGCGTTTAGTGGTATATTTTTATCAAGAAAAAGAGATTATTGATATTTAATTTTACGTTGTGTTTGGTTGAGGAATTTAAAGAGGGATTTGGAAAGGAAAAAAGAAAATGTGTGTGAAATTAGGTGAAATATAAGTATATTTTATTCACATTTCACATAATTTTTCCCTTTCCCTTTCCAAATCTCTTCTCAAATCTTCCAACCAAACACAACATTAATTTAACACTATGTACTATCTAATTTTTTCCATCTATTTGGCTCAAAAATATGTCCCGGGCTTTTAATACTCTTCTCTCAGTCACACCATGTGATGAAAATATAAAAAATAAAATAAGTATGCCAAGACACATCACATTCACACAGTTGATATGCATTAGGAATGTGAATTTTGGAGAACAGAAGACCCTGTGAATTTTGGAGAACAGTTCAATTTGTGCTTCCTCAAATTTGAAAACTAGAGTCTGACATGTTGAGTTGACCATTTCAAAGGCCAAGCCCAACATGTTTACTGGCAAGCCCAACTTGCCTCAAACCAGTTTTGGGTACAAGGACTCAAGCCATCCATTGCAATATTCATTGGACAAGTGTCTATTTTTCCTTTTCCTTTACCCCCTTTTCTTGAATTGCTATAATAGAATGTTTATTGCAACATTCATAGAATAAAAAAATGACCTGAAAAGAACTATTTTATTTTATTTTTCATTTATTAACGTGTGTTTGAATGTTTATTCATTGACGCGGAATCAAAAGAATATGAATTAACTACTCGATTTTAGACATTCTTCAACCAAAAAAAAAAAAAAAACAAGAAAAAGAAAAAAGAAGATGATTTCAAACTATGTTCCAAACTATATTAGATTAAAAGAGAAAGCAGCTGTACAATGATTGATTGAAGCAAACAGAAAGAACTTTGAACAAAGGGCAAATTACACAACAAGGCAAACAAAACAACCTCTAGAGCTACATAGCATAAGGTACCCCACCACTACACAACACAAGCCTACTGTTCCCACTTGTGTTCATTCCACCAACATTTACCAACCGGACTCTCATTCACTTTTTTACATGGCTCCCAACTCATTCCCTAGCTTCCATTCTCAACCATGTGAAATCCCCTCTTTGCCCCCCATAAAGAGATGGCTGAGGAAGAGTTTGTGTAGAGAGGTGTTCTTCTTACTTACTACTTTGTGGCTGCAAAAACTGTTGGCCCTTCCACCTGAAATATCATCCATCAAATTCAGATGATTGAAGTATTAGAAACAAAGGATATGTGGTCCAAGTGCATTTCTTTCTTAACAATGATATAAAAATAAATATATATATATATATATATATACATAATAGCTATCAACAAAGACGTGACTTCCATTCAGACAAAATAGCTATTGGTGGGAAAAAAAAGTCATATTACCAAGTGAATAAACGATGCTAGCTGAGGGTGTTTCATTATGATTGTAATTTTTCTATGCCTAATATGTTTTCACAGAATAGGGATGAATGATTTCACTTAAGTCTACATTATTTTTGAAATTGTTATTCAATAAAAAATTAAAAAAAAATAAATCTGCAAGTGATTTTCACTCATTTTTGGAGAATTACAACATTTGTTATCAACAAAGACAATCTTCTTGTGGTGCAAATGTAACAAGAAGGAAATTTTCAGAAAACAGATTTGTTTTACCTAATTTTTTAATAGTATATGACTAGGAAATTCAGCCTTCATTTAACTATATGGCATCATTGACTTATGGTTGGGGTTTGGCAAATCAGTGTAGAGGACCAGTCAGCTGGTGGCTCCAAAAATGAAACAGTATGCACAGAAAATTGCAACATTTATCAAAATGATATGAACTTGAAAAGTTGAGCCATCGTGTTACCATGAATTTGGCACCCCAAATTTCTTCCTCAGTAGCAGGAACAGCAGTGATCTTGTTTTTAGGATTCTCATAGCTTCTCAGTCCTCCAACTGCGGTTGAGTAGAAACATCCTGTAAAATACAGAGGCATGGCATATTTGTCAAGCAAGAGAAAAAAAAAAAATTATATATATATATATATATGTAGTAATAATATAATCAGTGTTTTCAGATTTTCCTTATCAAAGTTTTGTTGCAATTTCATTTGAGCATGGTTAGGGCTGCAAATTAGTTGAGTTCAAGCCCAAAGAATTTGAGCTCGAGCTCGGCTTGTCCAGAATTTAAGAAATATGAGCTAGGCTTGAGTGAGCCGAGCTCAATCCTAGAAAAAAAAGAAAAAGAAAAGAAAAAAAAAGAAGAAGCCTTATGCACAGTTAGTAGATTGAATTGACACTGCAATAAGAGCCACAAGGTCATATTTCACTCCATAAAACTAATAGTTAATGGACTAAACCAGAAAGATGAATAAGCCAACCCACCTTGAGGGAAAGAAGCAAGGGACTTGCCACAAGCACCTTTAAGCAAATCAGCGTCATTGGCAAAAGCCACATATCCATCGGCAGTGATTCCCCAATACAGAGGAACCTTACCATGTTGATCCTGTCATAACACCACCAACCCCAATTGTTGTAAAAAAAAATTAAAATCAAAGCAACAAAAGCTTCAACAAGGCAGTTTGTTGGTGGGGGAGAGAGAGAGATCACCCACTGTAGCCATAAACAAGGTGGAGGTAGACTTGTCATAGACAATGAAGGCAAAGCTCCCCTCAAGGTGGCCTACGACATGGTTTGGTGGATAAGGTGCTCTGTCACGAAGCGCCTTGTAAGCCTCAATGACCAGAACCACCTCATTTGCAGACTTGGCTAGCCCATATTGCTGCTTCAAACTCCCCAAGTTGTCAAGCGCTCCCTCAAACAAGCAGAATATCTCATCCTTCACTGCAAATGATCTGCCATTTCCAACATCCAAAAATTGGTTAGTTTCAGAAGTGGAGCTTGCATACCGGATAAAATTTTTGAAAATTTTTTTAGAGCTCTTAATGAAGAGCTCGAAAATAACATTAATTTGTCTTTTTCCTCCTTGTGTTTTGTCTTTTTTTGTTTGTTTGTTTGTGTGGGTGCGCCAGCTTAGTGAGCTGCTCTCTATCGGAGTCCAAAATTTTTGGTGACAAAGAATCAATCATAGAACTGAACATAAAACTTCACACAAGCCTATGGGATAGGCTCCCACAGGCTTTTGAATTTTTTTTGTCCTTAATTTGTATTTCTACAAGATCAAAAAAGAAAAAAGAAAAAAGAAAAATACCTTTTATTATTTCCTACCTACAATATATGAATATATATATATATATATATATGTGGCATACTATTTATGTTCCTACTCCCAAGAGGCCAAGAGTGACATTATACTTGTCGAGTTGCTTATTTCTTACCTACCTTGATTTTTCAACAACAAAAAAATTCAGCAAGAAACTTTTTTAATTAAAAAAATGTTATCATCATTTTATTCAAATAAAAAAAATATTATAATAACGTCCTCCTAATCCTAACCATTATGGTCCTAACAGAGCCCAAGAAAAAAGTTAAATATATAACCAAATTCATTTGAACTCAATTCTCTACAATAATGATAGGCTTATTGATTACCAATTAATATATATAAATGGAATAAAACATTTTATATAAGTGTGGGTATAAAAAATTTAAGGGAAAATTACAAAAAAAAAAAAATGATAATTTTGACCTATGTAATAGAATAAATCTTAAATTTTTAATTTGTTAATTTAAATTCTATTTTTTTGATTTATTTTTAATCTAAGTCATTTACTTATTTTTGTTAAATATAAAATTAATTAAAAAATAATATTTTAATGATTAAAATTAATCAAAAAAATAATAATTTAGACATTTTATAAAATCTACATTAAATTTAACAATTATATAAAATTTAATTGATCAAAATAAATAAATGATTTAATTGATAATAAATTAAAAAATTATAATTTAAATTAATAAAATTAAAAGTTGAAAATTTATTTTGTATAGCAAAAAATTAAAGTAGGTGGTTCACCCCCAAAAAAGTTAAAGTGGGTGGGACCCATGCATCACCATCAACGGTGAAAAAAGAAGTGGCTTTGGACTTTTGAGAATCATGCGATTTATCATCTAACCGTCCACGTGACACAACAGGCCAATATAGCCCTTGGATCGAGAACCCTCAGAAATGGTGAAAAAAATAGGTAATGTAAGTAAAAAGTGTGAAAACAGAAACGTTTTCCAATCAAGTGGTAACTATGGCGTCGAATCCGAAGCAGTCACTGAATTTGAGAAGATCACACGTGTATGGCTAAGGCTTGGTTTGGGAAGTAGGTTGGTTTTTTGACTTTTTGGCTTTTTTGGCTATTTTAGCCTGGGCTAAAAAGCTTGGTTTGGGAAGAGCTTTTTGGCTTTTTGACTTTTTTGACTTTTTTTGTGAGAGAAGAATGTAATGATTATAGGTTGGATGTGATGTTTTGTTTGTTATGGCTAAAATAGCCTATTTTGTTTTTTGTGGCTAAAATAGCCAAAAAAGCCTGAAAACTAACTTGCCAAACAGAGGCTAAGCTTGAGGATGGAATCGCGAGGTCGAGTTTATATTACGATCTAAATAAATTATTAAATTTTTTATTAAGATAGCTTGTTTATTAATAAATTTTATTTAAAAGTGTCTTAATTTAAGAAATTTATGAAGAAACTTTTTAATCTACTTAATTTCATATATTTATATTTTTATTTTATAAAGTCATTTTTTTATTTATATTACTTTTTTAGACTCTTATGTCTTTATATTTAATATTGATATTTAATGTTGAGGAGGGAGAGAGAAGAGAAATGACCAAGACATAAGAAATTTCATACACAAATTAAATAATATTAATGCTATTATTTTATATTATTATATATGTGAATATGTTTTTAATTGACAACACATTAAAAATAATGTATATATTCTTTCTCATCTGATGTGAATATATTTTTAATTGACAACACATTAAAAATAATGTGAACATTCTCTCTCATCTGATGTGAACGTTTACAACACCTTTCTGAAAAATTCTCTCTCATCTAATGTAGTGATGTGAAGGTTTACAATATGTAAACTTTTTTATTTTTAATTGGCAACACATTAAAATAACGTTTATTTCTATTTTTAATTGACAACACATTCTTATTCATAACATGTAGCGATGTGAACATTCACAACATGTGAACATTCTCTCTCATCTAACATAGTGATGTGAACGCTCACATTCGTATGTTTTAGTATGAATATTCACATCATATAATTAACAACACAATGACAAAAATTCACTTCAAATTAATGTAAATATTCATTTCAAATACATGATGTGAATATTCACATCATGTAATTGATAACACAAGAGTAATGTTAGGTAACCCAAATAATTTACCAAATGTTTTACCAAACCTCTCACATTAGTAATGTTACATACAAATCCATATGTGTGTAAATCCCACACTTATGTGAGAGGTTTGATAAAACATTTGGTAGATTATTTAGGTGTTGTTTGGCAAGTTGGTTTGTGGCTAAAATAGCCACAAAAGACAAAATAGGCTATTTTAGCCACAACAAACAAAACATCACATCCAACCTATAATTATTACACTTTTCTCTAAAAAAAAAGTAAAAAAAACCAAAAAGTTATTCCCAAACTAAGCTTTTTAGCTCAGGCTAAAATAGCTAAAAAAGCCAACCTACTTCCCAAACGGAGGCTTAGGGTCTCCAGCATTACTCGATAACACAATGACAAAAATTCATTTCAAATTAACATGAATATAATGATAGTTAACATCTTGATGCATGAGAACTACCAAAACATAAAGACAATCAACATTAATCGGAATAAGAGATATTGAGGGTGTTTTGGTTTTCTTATCTCAAATAGAACCTAATAGAATACTCAAAAAGAAAATGAGTTGGATGGAATAAAACTCTTAAAAAGAGAATTTATCAAAAAAAACTCACATAAGATCTATATATATATAATTTGTGTAATCCCACACTTATGTGAAAAATTTAGTAAAAAATTTAATAACTTATTTAAAATTTATAACATTTTTTCATGAGGTCTCTTCCTCCAGACAAAAGCTAGTGGAAGTATCTTAGGAGTGCAAAAATAGCCCGCGGCCTGTGGGCGGCCCGAAACTTGCTTGCGGCTCGAAAAGGACTAGGCTCGTTTAAACCCACTTAGGCCCAGGCTCGAGCCCAGCCCGAGTCTCTGGATCTAGGCCTGGGCTATCATTTTGAATTTCGACCTGGCCTGTGGGCTTGCCCGCTTGGCCCAGCCTATCGGCCTGCTTAAGGCCCATTCAAAGCCCGATCTGAAGCTCAACCTGCCCGCCCCGCCCGAGACCCAGTGTATTTTTTAATGAAAAATAATAAAATTTTAGTAAATAAAATAAAATAAAATAAGCAGACCTGCCCAAGCTCACGGCCAGCCCCAAGCCTATTGAGTCCGCTCACCCAAGGCTTGAATACCCCTGGTCTTAGGCTTAGGCTTAATTTTTTTGCCCATGGACCGGCCCGGCTCGGTCCGAATTTTGGTAGGAGCCCGCAAGGCCCCACATGGGCCAGACCAGGCCAGATTTACACCCCTAGAGCACCCTTGATTCTCGACTGGATTAGAATCCCGTGGAAGCCATTCAAGATAGAGTGGGCCGACAAAATTTCAACTTGATTGAGGTCTTAGGGCTCGTTTTGGAATTTTATTTTAAGCCTCGTTTGGCAAGTGACGTTGTTAGTCAAAAAGCTAAAAAGTCACTGAAAAAATCAAAAAATCAACAATTTATATCAAAAAGTCAAAGATTCTATTTTCTCTCTATTTTTTACACATCTTTCCGTAAAAAGTCAAAAAGTTATCCGAAACATACTAAGTTTTTTACATCACATTTTAGCCAAAAAGTTACTAAAAAAACTTATTCCCAAACGAGGCCTTATTTTTTGTTTTAGCTAAAAAATTAAAAAATCATTATAAATTGTTACATCATTCTTTTTATTTTTTTACATATTAAAAAATTATTAAAATAATTTAAAATCAACAATTTATACCAAAAAGTCAAAGATTCTATTTTCTCTCTATTTTTTACACATCTTTCCGTAAAAAATCAAAAAGTTATCCGAAACATAGTTTTTTACATCACATTTTAGCCAAAAAGTTACTAAAAAAACTTATTCCCAAACGAGGCCTTATATTTTGTTTTAGCTAAAAAATTAAAAAATCATTATAAATTGTTACATCATTCTTTTTATTTTTTTACATATTAAAAAATTATTAAAATAATTTATTTCCAAAAAAAACCTTATTTGGAGATTAAATAGTTTAATTAAAATTTTTAAAAATTATTATATTATTCTTTATTTAATATAAAAAAATTTAAAATTTTTAAAAATAATTTATTTCTAAACTCCCCGTTTGGGGACTTACCATTTTAGTCAAAAAGTCAAAAAGTTACCTTTTTAGCCAAAAAGTCAACAACTCATACCAAAAAGTCAAAGATTCTCTTTTCTCTCTACTTTTTGCACATCTTTTCGTAATTAGCTAAAAAGTCATCCCAAACATAGAAGTTTTTTTTACCTACTTTTTTAGCCAAATAGCCAAAAAGTTACTAAATTAGCCTGTTCCCAAACGAGGCCTAAGTCTAAATCATGGCCGTTCATTCCATCTCATCATCCTAACCTCTGTGGCTCAAAGTTATAAATTAATTAAAAAAATACGCACACAAATTAAATACAAAAATTAATCAGAAAAAAATATAATATATATATATTTTGGATTTCTGTGTTTTGCTAATAAATCAATGACAATAAAAAAAGGAAAAATGAAATTGTAATCATGCAGATATCATTCACTGTGTTTTCTAAAAATCATTTTCTGAATTTTTTTTATTTATTTATTTTTGTTTTTAATGATTTTTTTAATATTTTAAGTAATTTTTTTAATTTTTAGACACACCTAACATAAATACACATAAAAAATATAATTTTTGTGAAAAAAATTCTTTTAAAAATTCATTAAATATAAAAAATACAAAAAAAAAAATTCAGTATATTTTTCCTATTTTTATGTATTTATTAATTTTTTAAAGTATTTTTCACAAATATTTTACTTTTTAAACATATTTAAGTAGGATGCACTTAAAAAATAAAAAAAAATGCTTAAAATTTTAAAAATATTCACTAAAAATAAAAAAATTCAAAAAAATAAAAAATTTAATTTTTAAAAAATTTAATCCAAAAAACTCAAACAAAACACACACATTAATATTGAATTAAATAGAGCAGATAAAAATATTTTTTTATATATATTTGGTTGATCTAATTATAATATTCAATTCCATCCAAAAAAATGAATAAAAATTATAATGTTTAATCGCTAGAATCGTAAGTTAGGGTGCTGTTATGTTATGGTGTGCAACCTTGAGCTGTGCAACTCTTAAGGTTGCACACCATATGCAACCAACACAAAAGGTGCAAATGGATGGTGTAAATATAAAATAGAACAGTATACAAAAAAACGTAAGTGTAAGGTGTAAGGTGTAAGTTACACACTTAAAAAAAGTCCCCTAAGTTAAGGTACAAAGCAAGAGCTCCATCGTGAAGTAAACAGTACTCAATTCAAAAGCTATTTTCCACCATTTTCTCGGTGGCCAAACGGTTCAAGTCGTTCGATCAGTATCCCCTAGGTTGATTACTCCGATTTCTCATCCGACGATCGAGATCATTTTAATCACACACGCCAATTCAACAATCATTCATCAAATTAACTGTTACTGTTAATTATCACTGAATTCGATCCCAAGGTTCTAGACTCCATCGATCAATTTTTAATTTTTAAAGATTTTAATCTGTTGTTAATCAATATACCTGGGCTGTAAAGGAGACTGGTTGTGATGAGTGTAGGCAAGCTGAACATCGTCTCCGATCTGAATGGACACTGCCGATTGATTACTGTCCAGAAACCGCTTCACCAGCGCCGTCGCCTTTATCTTCGGCGACGGCGTCCTGCTTCCAGCCGCCACCAGCTCTTCCGGCGGCGACACAATTGAGCTGCTAAATACCCCCAACATGGCTACACCACTCTCTCTCTCTCTCTAAAAAGAAAAATATATAATCACACAAACAGAAGAAGATATATCTAGAATTGTCTACTGCCTTCTCTCTCTCTATAGTAAATGAAGGGCTCAGACATAGGATAGGAGAGGAAACCAGCTAGGGGTTTGGCCATATATAGAAGAGGAGCGAGGGTATTATCGTAATTTCAGATGATTTTCCAATAATTAAAATTTTATTTATAAATATATATATATATATATATATATTTTTTCCCTCATATTTTTATCCAATGAAAGACAGGAAGGCACGTGATTTGGGACCACAAGAATTGCCTTATTTGATTTAACTCTCAAGACATAATTTTTTAAAAAAAAAATTCAAAATTTTCTTTGGCTGGAAATATTTTGATTTTTTTTTCAAAATCACTCTTTCACCTACGTATTAATCAATCACTTTTTTTCTCTCCTCTCTCATTCTCAATCACTTTTTCTCTCATACACATCTATTCAATTACAACAAACAAAAATGATTCGTAACTCAAAATTAAGAGCTCGAATGGCCCGAAAAAAAGCGAAGTGTTTTCTCCCTCCTCAAAATCATCTGCAACTCTCTTTCTCCTCACAGACTCCAAAATACTCTCCCTTAGACTCCAAAATATATTCTGTCTACTCACTCCAAAAGCAAAACCAAACGATAAACTCGAATGAGGCAAAATACTCTCCTTAAACTCACTTTCTCCTCACTTTCTTCCTCTTTTTCCTTCCTCTGTTTTTTTCCTTCTTTCTTCATCTTCTTTCTAAACTATTGAATGAGGCAAAACAAAAAAACAATAGAGAGAGAGAGATGGGAATTTTACACCAAACCCAAAACCAAAACCAAACCCACAACCACAAATCAATATCGACACTGAAATTCAAATCAGACAAAATCAAACAAAAATTCGAACAAAATCAAACAAAAATAGGAACTTCCACGAAATAATTGATGCATATACACACACATATATATATATATATATAAATGTTGAAGACAAAGGTTTATACCTTTTTGGTTGATGATGATTCTCTCTCTCTCTCTTTGCTGTGTTGATGATGATTTGTTAATTTTTGGTTGATGATGATGATTCTCTGTCTGCTCCTCTCCTCTTCCCTTCTTCTTCTTCTTCTTTGTTTTTCTTCTGTAGGTTATGGAAACGAAGAAGGAAAGGAAAGGAAAGGAAAAAAAAAAAAAAAAAAAAGCAAAGTGTTTTCTCCCTCCGCAAAATCATCTGCTACTCTCTTTCTCCTCACAGACTCCAAAATACTCTCCCTTAGACTCCAAAATATATTCTGTCTACTCACTCCAAAAGCAAAACCAAACGATAAACTCGAATGAGGCAAAAATACTCTCCTTAAACTCACTTTCTCCTCACTTTCTTCCTCTTTTTCCTTCCTCTGTTTTTTTCCTTCTTTCTTCATCTTCTTTCTAAACTATTGAATGAGGCAAAACAAAAAAACAATAGAGAGAGAGAGATGGGAATTTTACACCAAACCCAAAACCAAAACCAAACCCACAACCACAAATCAATATCGACACTGAAATTCAAATCAGACAAAATCAAACAAAAATTCGAACAAAATCAAACAAAAATAGGAACTTCCACGAAATAATTGATGCATATACACACACATATATATATATATATATAAATGTTGAAGACAAAGGTTTATACCTTTTTGGTTGATGATGATTCTCTCTCTCTCTCTTTGCTGTGTTGATGATGATTTGTTAATTTTTGGTTGATGATGATGATTCTCTGTCTGCTCCTCTCCTCTTCCCTTCTTCTTCTTCTTCTTCTTTGTTTTTCTTCTGTAGGTTATGGAAACGAAGAAGGAAAGGAAAGGAAAGGAAAAAAAAAAAAAAAACCAAAACGACGTTGTTTTGGTATTTTCGGGCCATTCGAGCCACTAATCTTTCGAGCTACGTAGCGGGACTCTACAATAAAATATCAAATCATTCCAAACTCTCATACTCCAAAACTATTTTCAAAATATACAACCAAATAAATCAAAAATATTTCTAAACTCTTTTCCCAAAATTTTTTTTGAAAATTTATCTTTCAAAACCAAACCAAACACACCTATGATTCCCGTGTGTCCTTTTTTTTTTTTTGTTGAAAATTAATTAATTAATTTTTTATATTAATTTTATTTTGTATAGTATTTATATCAAAATTGTTGTAAAATATGTTTAGAATATAGGGTTTTTTTAAAAAAAGTTAACAAAAATATAGGGAAAATTAGTGAAATATCCCATCCTAATTTTTTGTAGTAGAAAAGATTCAATATGTTTTTTTAGTCATTCGATGAAATTTATCTGTGTTGGGACGAATTTTCTCTGTGAAAATTTTGAAAGACCCCAATTATTATAAAAATATTATATATTTTTTATCTTATAAAATCTTAATATCAGAAATCTTAAAAAATAATTCCTTTATTTTTCCACTAAAAATTAATAAATTAAAATTTGTATAAAACCTTTTTTTTTTTTTTCTAAATAATTTCCACATGTCCAAGAAAAGGAATTTTAACGAGTGTATGTACCCATGCACAAACTCTATTATTAAAGCTGGACGGATTGTCCAAGGCCATTGGGTATAATTTTAATATTAATTCCAATAATATGATTTAATAACAAAATTGACAGTGACTTACCAGAGCAAACAAACACAAACTTAAAAATTATTTAAATGTCATTTGAAAGACTATGTAATAGTAAAGTTTAATTTACAAGTTATATTTTAATATTAATTCCAATAATATTTTAATATTAATTTCAAATAATATGCCGATCAGAAAAAAATTAATTCCAATTATAACAAAAAAATGACAATGACTTATACCAGTAGATGAACACAAACGTAAAGATTATTCAACTTCAATAGTAAAAGTGATAGACAAGATATTTGATCAAAGTATATAATAGAAGATAAAATAATCTTAAAAATCATTTTATGTTTCCTTGGAAGAACAACCTCGAATTGAAAATTACATACACACCATTACTTTGATGTGCTTGCTAGGATAGATTATAAATTATAGGCTTATTTTGGAAATAAGATTAAAAGTCAATTTATTAATTTTTTGATTTTTTTGAATTATATTATCTCTCTATTTTTTATGTTTTTTTTTAAAAAAAAAGTCTAAAAAAATTAAAAAGTTAACTTTTAACCTACTTTCTAAATAAGTCGTAATTTTGGACAAAACGTTTTGACTTTAATAGTTAAATTATAAATTCAAGTTACAGAGTAATATATTTTAAAGACTTTTTATTCTTATCTAATTATCTTTTTTGCCCTGGTTAATCATAGATGTTTGAGAGAAAGAAAAAATAAAAAATAAAAAAGGTTAAAAAGAAAAGAAAAGAAGCAATGAAGAGATTGAGCTGTGTTTATTGGAACATGATAATAACATTTACAATATGTTTGGTTAAGAGATTTGAGAATTGATTTAGAAATAAAAAGGAAAAATGTGTGTGAAATTATTTTACCTACCTTTTTCATTTCTCTTTCTGAATCTCTCTTCAAATTCTCCAATCAAACACAATATTAAGAAATAAAAAAAGACATTTAAATAAATTTCCAATTAAAAAAGTAGATTTTTTTATGAAAAAATTACAAATCAAGTGTTCTTTTCAAAAATAATTTACCTACACATGGAAAATTTTATTGTTAGGCTTTTGTAATTGTTTATTTCTTTTAACAATTCCTTAGTGGGCTTGATGACATTCCCTAGTTTAACAATCTCTTAGTTTTTGTATCAACTATTAGGTTTATTTTGATGACATTTTTGAAAAGCTTTTAGTATTAAGGGACTTTAATACAATTAGTACTTTTGTTTGAGATATCTCCTTTGCTACTGACGGGTGGATTTGTCAAATCAATTCCGGGTCGATTATTCTTTTGTTTTGTCAATGAATGTCATCTTTTGTATTATGTAGATGCTAGTAAACATCCCAAGAAATTTTGAAAACCTTTGATTGATGAACTCAATTCATCCTTTGTTTTGTTAATTACAAGCTATGATATGTATTATTTTGTCAAAATCTCGGATATCATTAATTCAAATCTTTATTACTTATATCATTTACTGAGTTTTTAGCTCACCCATTTCCCTTATATATATGTAGGTGATGAGCAGGAAAGTGATGTCGTCTAAGCTTTATTTGGAAGATGTTTTGATTCATGTTTTGCATAATCTTGAAGATTATGGTTCTTAGCTTTGTAGTTCGTTTCATTTGTATGTTCTGGCTTGAGAAGCCTTTTGATCAAGATGTAATATGTACTTTCTTTTATTTTGTTTTCAAGTTGTAAAATCATGTTAAGATGTATGTCATTTCATTTAATCTATGCACGACTCTTACGAACAAACTAGATTTAAATTTATTACTTCCGCATATGTACGCCCTATATATGTACTCTTTTTGTGTGAATCTTTGTAAGTTAGCTTTCGATAGTCTCGGATTACTGGTCATCACAGCACCATTCTACTAGGGGTGGAATTGGGTTGTGACAGATTGATATCAGAGCACAAATTCCTTATAGTACATTTATTCACACATTCTTGGTCCTAAAGAGCATAGGATTTCCCTTAGTAGTTACAATCTCAATGCACCTTATATATATATGTATATATATAATCACAAACTATATTTCTATACTATACATTTTTATTTATTTATATATAATTTTATAAGTCTATCGATAGACATATTTCTATAATTTGTTATTTATTAATGAAAGTTGGTAACTCACATAAATTTTCTCATCAAATTAAGAGAATTTAATATATTTTTCTAATATTTTCTATGGGATAATAACATGTATTTTCAATAATATTAAAGCTTTTAATGAATGAAAATTTTCGTTTGCAAAATTTGTCAAAGGGAATAGAAACATCACATTTATCACCACATTTATTATTGTTCTTGAGAGGGTAATTTGTAAGCAAATTAGGCTGAGCTAAGAAAGTCTTCTTTGGAAGTTGGGCCGCGCAATGGGCCGAGATAAGGTCTGGTGTAGCTCGGTCTTAGGCCAAGAAGACATCTCATATTACGAATTTGGACCGAACTATGGGCCGAGGTGTTTGGGTTTCGCAAGTTGGACCTCGTCC